GCTGGAACCTCTGCCTGGCTGGCTGCAGCCAATGCACACAAACTTCAAAAGAGCCTTTCATTGTAAAGCCGCTTGCCTGCATCCCAATCGCTTTCTAGTAAAGGTGGTGGAGAAGGCTGCTCCTCCCTCTTTAGAGTCAAGAGAAGCCAGAAAAAGGTCAGGATGTCTTGTGATTTTTGAAGCAGCACTGAATAGCTCAGGGGAGATGTAATGTTTTCCAGTCTCTTGACCATGGTTAAGAGATCTGGAGTGCCCCTCAGACTCGTGCCCACCCCACCCCACCTTGCACAGTCCTACTCCCTTGTCCCACTTCAACTCCTCCCTCTCCCTTCTCAGCAATACTTATATCTGCACTAAACCAGTACTGGAAGCCCTAGTCAGAAGCAGGTTTCAAAAGCTGGTTGAAATCTAGCTATGGATTTGGCAATCGTAGATTTGGCTCGCACTCATTAACAATACTATGAAATTTGCAGTGACATAAACAAATATACTGGTTTCTCAGATAATACCAATTGGGAGGTACCAGTGTAAGATCTCTGAAAACTATTTTAATTAGCAAAGTGAGGCACCATCAGTTACAAAACATTTTCAATTCAAAACCTTGGCAAGACTGTAATAGATTTAGAATATTTTTTTGGGGGGGGGGATTCCAACAATTCTTCCAATCGTTACGTCAGTGCAACCTTTTCAGCTTACCAAATGGAATGACCCCCCCTCCACCTTCCATGTACTGTTCTGGGGGTTCTCTTGGCCCACCGAGAGACTTTGGGGGGGCACACTGGCAGGAATTGGGGAAGCCCCATTGTGCAAGCAGAAGTCCTTGAGCAGAGCTTCCACTGATAGATAAATCACAATGGGCGGGATTCACCCTTCCATTTAGTCTGAAAAGTATTTTCTGTTCCCTTTCTTTCAAATGTGCTCCAATTTATGATTCAGAAACACATTTTCAATGTTCAGATGCCACAGCAACCAGGTTTTAAACTCTGAGCTTTCTCTGTGCTTTCTTTCCACTTTGCCCTACAAGACAAGTCTATAGCTGAGTTAGGAAACCTGTGGTCTAACTCCTATCATCCCTGAGCATTGGCTATGCTCAATGGGGCTGATAAGAACTGGAATCCAATGACATTCGGAGGGCCACAAATTCCCCACACTTGAAGGTTTACAGTTACACTGCTGGACACAGAGCCCCAAAACGATGAAGTGTGAACATCATTGTTGGACAACCTAACAAAGTTCTCCATGAAGGTCCCAACTGGAGGAAGAAGAAAGGACAGAGAGTGAAGAAAGGGCTGTGAGTGGAAGGCAGCCCTTTTCCCATCCTCGGGACCCCTGGGAAACTCAACAAACCTGCTGTACCTGGAACTAGGTGTGGAAAGTACAGCTGAATGGGACACAGCTGTGGGCAGCCTGAGGAAGTAGAACCCACCTTGATGTCTGCCCATCAAAAGCAAGTCTAGAATGAGAGACTAGGGTGGTGTCTGCTGTTTCCAAGAATTCTTGTCATTGTGAGATTTTTGTGGGTGAGCTGAGAGTTTGTTTGGACTCTGGGCAACAACCCAGAGGTTGAGAGGGAAGGTGTGTGTCAGAAGGAAAATAAAGTGGTATTTATTCATGTATATTAGTAAATTTGTATTAATGTAACATTTCTATATGTATTTTTGTAATATTTTGTTTAAGTTGTCTGTTGTTGCTTCTGTTTTCTGTACACTGCTTAGATATATTTTAAATATATTAAGCGGTATAGAAATTAAATAATCCATCAACACTGTACAATGATTTATCTGTCCCATCTCTGCAATGGTGATAACAGCTTAATTAACATTCACTATATTATTTATTATTATTATTATTATTATTATTCCACCATCAGTGTACACAGCAGAAGGATATTGCATTGTAAATGTAGGTATGTGTGTGGCAAAGGCAAGGGTAATAACCCAGCAGGAGGAATAAAAGAAAATGTAAAAGGGGGTGGATTTAAGCAGTTGCACATTCTTAAAGGTAAAGGTAAAGGTACCCCTGCCCGTACGGGCCAGTCTTGCCAGACTCTAGGGTTGTGCGCTCATCTCACTCTATAGGCTGGGGGCCAGCGCTGTCCGCAGACACTTCCGGGTCACGTGGCCAGCGTGACAAGCTGCATCTGGCGAGCCAGCGCAGCACACGGAACGCCGTTTACCTTCCCGCTGGTAAGCGGTCCCTATTTATCTACTTGCACCCAGAGGTGCTTTCGAACTGCTAGGTTGGCAGGCGCTGGGACCGAGCACATTCTTAGACTTCATCTTTTCTCCACATGAAGATCAAGGGGGTAAAGGGTCAATAGAAAAGCCATGTGTTATTTTGAACAAAGATCTAATAAAAAACAAGATTTCATAGGGATGTGATCTCTCTTCCTCTACAATTCTGCACACAGAGTTTCACAATGAAGCATAGAAGGGAGCCAGCTCACCACCATATATTCTGAATATTAAAAAAATCTTCACGCTGCATGCAGAAAGTCACTTTTAATCTGGTGAGTGATCACTTCAGAGACAGAGAGCAGCAGTTCTGGACTCTGATTACAGAGGCAAGAAAAAGAACATGATGCTATGACCTTAGCTATTCCTGATACCAATGTTTAGGTCACATATGTACATAACGACTAATTAATAATATAGTACATTAGAGTGCAAAATGCTTATTAATAACACCTATCCCAACCAACTTTACAACAATTTTGTGATGTGGGTCACTAGTGCCATTACAATATGATAAATGGGGAGTTAAGATGTAGAGAGAAGGATCTGTTCAAAATGACTAATGAGTATATGTTTGAACTGCAAGTAATTTCAAAGCCTTCTGGTTCCAAGGCCTACATTGAAGCATGCTAGCTCTTGTGAAGAAAAAGACCATGAAAATGAGCCATAAGTGAAACCTTGGGCTTCATATCTGCTTCCTAATCTCTGAGCATCCCTGCAACTCTAAAGCTGCTTTACTCAATTCTCCTAGTCTTCTAGAAGCATAAGTAGGCGCTAAAAGAGAGAGAGACACACACACAAATGCCAATAAACAATTTAAGTCATCCTGCTTTGTAACTCAGAAACCCACACGCCTACTAAAAATTCAGATCAGCAAAGCAGTATAATTCCTCTGATATAAACAGCAGTGTTCCTCATTTAAAAGAACAAAATAATTCAATGTCCCGATTTTCTAGTGTAAATTAAGTCATGCAGAAAACTCCTGGGTATCTTGACAGGCTGGCCTGGTGTCAAATGTAGACAGACTGCCCTGTACGACACTCCCCATTTCAGAGATATTTGGTTTTCTTATATTATTGTTTTAAATAAAAATAGTAAATATAACTTGACCCCATGTCAAAGTTTTAACTCCACTCATTACAAGCATGTGATTTCCTATGGTCCAACCTACCTTCCAACATTTGCCTACCTAGCACATTAACAACAAGACTTTCAACAGGAACACAACAAGTTTTTATTATCTTGTCCTCCGTGTGAAGATAATTCACAGTAGGCCTGATTGTTTCAGGTATCTACCAGAGACATAATATTCCTTATGGCACTGCTTATTTAACCACAAGTCTTGCTATAACTCGTTCTTTCATTACAGATACTAATGACATCTAAATGCATGACAGCATTAATTTAAAAGTCTTTTCAAGATATTCCATGGCAGGGAAATAAAAGCTTAAAATATACAGTGTGAGTAAGTTATGAGTCCCCAAACTAAAAGTCTAAGAACATACTTAAATTGTAGGGGAGGGGTCTGGCTCGTGATGTTAACTCAGGGAACCAGCAATCCAGAAAATACTTGCCTACATGTAAATTCATTAACACAGTCAACCAAATGGCCCATCTACAGACTTATCAGACAGAAACAAACTGAATCAACATTTTCAGGGAATGGACTCAAACCAGGATCCAAAGAAACCTAAACAATGGGCACATGGCCTTTGGTTTGGACACAGTCTGATCCTTATGTTTCCCTCCCCTTATGGTTTCCCTGAGGCTGCATTTTAAATTGCATTTAACCTGTATTTTAAATTAGGTTTTCCCCCCCCTATTATGTTTTTACTGTAATTTTACTGGTGTTAGCCACCCTGAGCCCAGCTCTTGCCAGGGAGGGAGGGGTATAAATAAAATGTATTATTATTATCATTATTATTATTATTATTATTATTATTGACTGTGATTCACTGGATGTTTGTGCCAATTACAACTAAGGTACTGTTCTGAAAGAAACTTAGGTTGCATCCACACCTTCTGCCTCGGGTTAAGTACTTAATTCGTTCTGGAGGTCTGTTCTTAACCTGAAACTGTTCTTAACCTGAAGCACCACTTTAGCTAATGGGGACTCCTGCTGCCGCCGCACCACCAGAACACGATTTCTGTTCTCATCCTGAAGCAAAGTTCTTAACCCGAGGTACTATTTCTGGGTTAGCGGAGTCTGTAACCTGAAGTGTATGTAACCCGAGGTACCACTGTACTGCAACAGAAAGAGTGGAGGACATTGTTCGTTGTTGCAAAGAACTAGCTCCCACCAATATTGTTCTATTCACAATAGACATGACAACCACACAATGTGGTTCCATAGCTGTCTCAGAAGCACAGCACCGTCTGGAAGCACCCAAAGTGATGATCATAAGTTAGATTGCTATTTCCACTGAATGCAGGGATGGGGAACAGTGGCACTCTAGATGATGCTGGACTACAATTCCCATCACCCCTGACTATTGGTCATGTTGGTTGGGGCCGATGGGAATTGTAGTCCAGCCACATTTCCCCCACTCCCAATTAATGGGACCTAGAAACAGCAAGAAGGAAGTAGAAGAAACAAGGCATGGACTAGGGTTATAGCACCTGCTAAGATGCACAATGGTGGTTATGCCACCTTGATATAGAATTTAGTATATAAGGACACTAGGATACAGTGCTCCATCTTGACTTATTACTATGGCATTGCATGCTGGAACTTGTAGTCTCATCTCCACAGACAGCACCTGTGGTCTAATGATAACAGGAACAGAGGTGTCAGATGGCTGGATTTATGGAGGCCTTGGGCTTCTGCTTATCAAACAATGCAGCACCAGTACAAGCAAAGTTTTATAGTCCAGGTAATGAACAACAGGTTTTGAGAGGAGGGTTTGGAAAGACAAACTGTTTGAGTTGAAAGAAAAGTCATTCTGCAGCATTTTAAAAGGGCATGCAGTAAAGTATCCTAATCTTCTACATTATCAGAGAAACAATGAGGCCCATTAGATTAACAAGAGGCAGCAGGAAAGGAATGACTCTCCAGACTGAAAAGAGAACAGATATTGAATGAAGACAGCACAGGTAATCATACATAAACACACACAGGCAGAGAGAGAGAGAGGGGGGGGGAGAGAAATGGGCAGAAAACAACCAACACTTATAGCACACCACCTCAAATTAGGACCAGAGGCCTCTTTAAATAAGGGTTTTGTTAATAACATGGCAGTAAATTAACTAGTACCCAAAGGCTTTCTTCCTCACCAGATGGTTCCCTGAGACTCTTGTGCATTATGGCAACTAAACGAGATTTCAAATTCTGGTTAAAAGCAAACTTTGCTTAATATTAATTATGATTTAAGTTAGTGTCAACATCACCCTGGTTAAGCCCAGGACAAATTTGCAAGAGAAGGCGGACTAGCTGGAGAGTCTCTGGCCCTCTGCTCATCTATTAAGCATATACACAGGCATGAAAGTATTGTGTTTGTTAGGACTTCTTTGGTCGTACAGTCAAACAATATCAGTGTAATATGGGCATATGCACCTGCTAATTATTATAACTAATCAATTATTTTCATTGGCAGGCCAGTAGTAATATCACTGATCTGGGAAGATGAGTCAGCTACACCAGTGGCAGCAGCATGGCCCAGGAAAAGGGAAAAAGATAAGTGTGCAGTTTCTACCCTCAACATAAATTCATCCAAGGACAACAGAAGGACTGTAACTCACAGTCTCATTAGCTGCCAAGCCACAGACTATGAGGTCCTCTGAAATCTTTATTATTTATTTGATTGGCAAGCTATATAGTTATTGGTTAACAAGCCCTGAGAGAGAGTCTTCAGGATGCTCATCTTCCTACTACAAAAGTCTTAATAAATAAACAATCTGCCAGAGTTCCTTCTGACAGACAAGTTACGAAATATATGAGGCATGTTAGAAAGCTGTGTGTGTGTGTGTGTGTGTGTGTGTGTGGAGAACAAAGCCAGGGTGTTTGACAAGAACTTTCCTACTGACAGCTATTCTGTTTGGACAAGAGAATTCCTTGCAGTTTCGGTCTGAACTGAAATCTTTTCCCTCTGCGTAAAAAAACCCACACATTCCGCAGTTTCAAGAGCTTCCCAGAGGAACTCACCCTCTCACCTTTTAGTCACGCAATCAGCAGAGAGCCTCTCCCCCACTTCGCCTTTAGTGTTCCCTACCTAATTCCCCGAAGCTTCTTGCAGAGTAGGCCAGAGCTGGGGGAAGGGGTGGCGGAAAGAGGGACTGGACAAACAACTCAGCAGTGTCCCTTTCCATGCTCAGGGAGGAAGAACAAAAAAAGCATGAGAAGGGAAGGTGATACAAAAAAATAGGCTGTGACAAAGCAGAAGTCCCTCATCCCACTCTATCACAAAGAGAGGCTTCAGTAACCTAACAAATGTCCCCGCTCCTAGACTATTCTTTCTAATATTATAGATTGTATCTACTATTCCCTCTATACACAAATGTTCAGTTGGAAATCTTCAGTAACAAGCCTCAGTTCTCTCACCCGATTCAGGCGACTCAGCACCGATCTCAGCCCACTTGCAGCTTCACCAAGAAGGCCTTGCCCTTCATCAGGCAGAAGCTTATTATCCTCACGAACAGCTTAAATACAGTACCAGAATGCTGAACCCCAAATTGTTTCTGTACTTGATGTTGCTAGCCACAGGGGCGGGGAACATTTGGCTCTCTAACTCCCATCAGTCAGCAGAGTCAACGTTCAGCGATGATGAGAGTTGTCGCTCAACAAGATCTGGAGTGCAACAGCTTCTCATTCCCGGTATTAAATAGTTTGGGGATGCCTCCTACGGGAAGTAACTGCCCCCACGTGCATTTTTAACTTATAATAAATAATCCATCTCTTGCAAGTCCAGTGTGGGTGAACAGCCTCACTCTTCCAACCAAGACAGAAACCTTTTTTTTTTAAAAAAAAATGTGAATAATTAAAGTCGATTTTTGTGCACATAATATACTTGAACTCTTCACCTTCCAACCATCTTCCAGCCTTTATATCCTAATGCAGAGACGGGCTACCTCTGGGCTGGATCATCAGGCGCAATATTTCCACAATTTCACTTGTAAGAAGAAAATAAAATAGGAGCTATTTCGTGGTATAATGTTACTTGTCTGGGATTTTTCATATAAATGTCTATATCAGTACAGAATATGCTTGACCACATAACTGTGATGCCCTTAGTATTATTATGTAGCAAGGAAACGGACTGCACCAAAGGGTTGAGTCACACAGCAAAAAATACTCTTTAAAACCCCGTTGCAATACGTCTGGGAAATCCCGGACATGTCCTCTTTTGCTGGGGGGGGGGAGAGGACAACATTTACATTTTAAAGGAAATATCCAGGATTTGGGGGGCTTTGTTTATTTATTTTTGGTGGGTTTTTTGGCTTGGGCAGCTCGGGCTCGGACGGCGCAGGTGGCTCTGCATGCCACAGCCTCTGCCAGCCCGAGCTGGGAAAAGAGGTGTGCAGGCATGATCGTGGCAGCTCCGCGCATCCGCCCAGCTTGGGCTGGCAGCAGCTCAGGCTTTCCTCTTTTTTGCTTTTCAAGATATAGCAACCCTACCAAATTGTAGTCTGGAGAACAGAGCAGGCCCAGTGAATCAAGAAGCTGGCTAGATCTGCTCTCAATTGTATAAGTGGTTTGTGGCTTCCTAAAATCCACTTATTCCCAAGAAATTCTTTCTAAGCACCACATTAGCAGACAAGGTACAGCAGAAGTAGTATAGCTGGGCAGCCACACTAGTCCTTCTAGATCAGGGGTCAGCAACCTTTTTCAGCTGTAGGCCTGCCCACCATTACAGTCTCTAGCTAAGAGAAGGATTTGATCCCAAGTTTCCCACAGCCAAACTCAAACCTCTAGCCACTAGACTGTTCCAACTCTCACAGCACTGAAAAATACACACTCACACACCAAGACTGCCAATTCCAGATTTTTAAGGAAAAGTATATGGCATCCAGGAAACTTGAATAATTCTACTTAGACAAAAATGAGATTGAGAAAAAGCCATACAAATAATGGGACTTAACAGGAACATGACATCCGGCCACTTGATCTCCCTTGTTGTCCTCAAAATCGAGAGGTGAGAAGACTTCAAGGCAGGATCTATTTTGTTTTCTACTGAAATCCTAAAATCCATCAAGCAGAAGCAAAAGATACAGGCTTTGGTTATCAAACTATGAGTCCAAGAATCTGTGAATACCAGAAGTGAATGCAACTCACAGTCACTGCACAGAAAAACCAACTCCTAGTGATTCCCACAACTGTTGCTGCTGTTAAACAACTAGGAATAAGAAATCACTGAGATAATGGGGAATTTTGGCTATGGACTAGGTATCCCTCCTATATGTCTCCCAAGGTGTCTGAATATGAATGGGTGCTAGTCAAGTAAACACAGATCTCCTGATTTCCCTCTGCCGTCAAACACATACATAGACCCCTGCTTTCCATATTCTTTTGCTCCTCCTCCAACCACTGCCATCAACAGACTGCAGAATATTTATAGCAGAGCATTTTAAGCAAGGGGTAGTTTTATATCATGGGAAAGTGACGTTTTTATTGGGCCAGTAAGAATGAACTGATAATTAAAGCAATGGTTGCATTTGCCTATCTTGCAAATGTGTATAGATTACAGATATGAAGCATCTAGTATTAGGCAATTCATGCAGAAGCTCCTGCCATTGGTCATTTTAAGAATCATAATTTTCCTGTGGCTTAAAAGACTTACTGGGTATGTACTATAGATTTTATTTCAGAGCCGATACTAGGTTTGGTGGGATGCTTTGTCTTCATGCCTTATACTTTGTTGTCCTATGAGATAAGTAATCTGCTTTATATTATACTTAAGTAAATTTCAGCTGCAATGGCAAAAACTGACTGCAGAATGCAAGGAATCATTAAGATACAGTACAGGCTATGCCCTAAGAGATTGTATCTCATGAGGCATCGGGCATGCTTGCCAAGACATGCTGTACCTATGTATACACACACAGCCGATCTATAGAGGCAGCTTGCCTGAATGCCCCTTGGGAAGACGGCAGATGAAAAACAGGCAGCTGTGGTGCAGGAAGAAGTTTTTGGCACTGCAATCTGCACGGCATACAGCAAGCCTGCTCTCTGAATGTACCCTCCACTCCGGCTCCTTTGTGAGCATCTTCAGCCTTGACCTTTTGCCAAACAGCTGGGCTGCTATAACCTCTCTAGCAGCGGGGTACGGTCTCCAAACTAGGGCAGAGCCAGCATTCCTCTCCACCCCATCCTCCGGTCCTTCCTTCAACAGGACTTTGCTTTGCTGAAGTCTGACAGGAGAACAAGGGCAAGCGTTGGGCACCTTGTGACACAAATCATACCCCAAACATCTGTCAGAAGCAATCACCATCTTCCTGTCATTTCCAGTTCCTTCAAACATGCAACAAAGAAAATGGGGGCAGGGAGGGAGGATGGCTGGAAGGCAGAACAGCAGCTAGCAAGCATCACCATCACCGGTCATGCTTAAAGAATGGAAAACAGTGCCTCCACTGATTAGAAGCAGAGGGGTTCTCTTTCTATACTAAGGTACACTAAGAGGTTACCTACGTTATTAATTCAGCTGTTATTCCAAAATGACCTCCCCTCTTTGCCTAGCTGGCCTCTGCAGGAAATGCCAGGGTCTTCTACTGAAGCATACATATGCAAACCACACGGTCTTGTTTACTAGTCTACCAGGTCACTGTGCTAGTTGTGAAGCAGCTCTGGCTAGGTTTATGGATTCAGTACATGCCTATATACACACAGGAGTGTTGCAGTCTTGGCCTTGTTTATTTGCTTCATTTAAAATGCCGGCATTTTTTTGTGTTGGCCTTGTTTATTTGCTTCATTTAAAATGCCGGCATTTTGTTCGTGTGTGTTAATTCCCCCCCCCTTACATGTTAGCTGCCTTTATAAAGACAAAGCAGGGTATAGCATTTTTAAATAACCGAGAGAAATAAGCAGTGAAAGAGGCCCTGCTTATCTGGGGCATGCTTCCTCACATAAGTTATTCAAGGGCACTTCTTACTTACATCTCAAGATTCCCCTTAACTGTGCAAATATCATCTTAATATTACTAAATATTAAATGAAATGGTATAATGGTATTTTATGTGATTCCATCCTTGGTATGCTTATCAGACGGAATAGGACTGCAACCACAAACCCTCACAAAAGAATGCAAAATGATGAGTTCACAATCCTGCCCTCATAGTGAATTTACACACGAGCAGAGATATCACAGCAGGCTGTGCTAGAGGAATCCTTTTGCCAGTTTTATACCACCAGCACAAGGGGTAAAAATGGGTGACCTTGGTGAAAATCGCTGTTCCCCATCTTTTAAAGGCGAACGATTAATGGTTACATGTGGCATGATTCAAATGGGAAAACCTCTTGTAAGCCACCTGCTTCAGAGGAAGAATGGCCTTCAGGAGAACAATATCTACTTTTTGAACTGAAGGTTTGGGATCTGGGAGGCAAACTGTGCCTGCACACTTTCTTTCTTTCTTTTTTCAGAGGCATGCTTGGCTGATGCATAATCTGGCACAGTTCCAGGGTCTGGAATCAGATCGTAAAGGAACAAGAAAATCTCAGGAAGCACCACAACACAAAGCTGTCCCTGGAGAAGTCAGATCCCC